GCCTCGATTTATGCAAGGCTAGTTTAGTTCATTTTTATCAGCTCAAGTTCATTTTGGCTGCTACTGGAATGTATGTGTGTGTTTTCTTTCTTACCTTTCACCTAATTACCATTCAGGTACCATAAGCAGATTTTTCATGCTATTGGTGTTTTTCTTAATTAAGAAACAAATGAATTTTCCCTAGCAAAAAAGATGGAACAACAGAATAAGATGCCAGAGGCTGATGTTCTGCTTCTTAATTGAAGCTGTTCCATTGTTAGGTTCTGTTGTGAAAGGGCAGAAGTGTCATGAGTTTACTGCAAATGGTATATAAATAATAGCTATAAGCAGTAACATTAAAGTTAGGAGCATAAACAGGAACGCCAACTTCCTACAGGTACAGCACCCTTGCTTGCAAACACAAGATGTTATTGAAAATACACTATTTATATCCAAAAGGTTCCAATCCCAGTCCAAAGAAAAGTGTTGCATTTTCTTCTATCTGTTATCTCCACTCTGCTCATGAATCCATGATGTTCAACTGAGGAAGAAACTAGAGATTCCAGTGCGAAGAATTCTATCTCAGCTTTATCATTCTAGCAGCAAAATAAGTCTGTTCCTTCATTGTTTATAAAAGATGCATCTGTCTTTCTATTTCCTACCTTTCCTACCTATTTCCTACCTATTTCCTTTCTATATATACATGTTAACTCAACAATGCTTGGAACACTCAACATGTACATGCTTCCATCATGCTTTTTGTACCATGAGGAACATATACTATCCATAGACAGTGTTAGACAGTGTGGCCTTCCCTGGGTGGAAATAAATGGAATAATAAACATGGGGTGACTGCCAGAACTGGCAGCTCCATTTCAAATCCTGCAGCCCCTAACATCCTGTACAATTGTATTTTGCTGCCATCATGCACTGTGTTTTCTCACTCCCTTCCAAGGCATGAGCTGCCACAGGAAGAAGTTGGTAAGCAGGTATAAAGGATCCATGGGATGAGTTATAATAGCATGAAAGAAGGGAATTCAACATCTTGTATTATGATATAAAGTCTAATTCTTTGTTTATAACAATATGAACTCAGACATGGGTCATCAAATCACAAAGTTGAAAGGTCATCCAGGTAACCCATTGCCATCAAAGGGCATCTTTGCAGTCTACATCATTGTAATAGTCTATACCATCCATAATAGGTTGTAATCCAACCTCTGCTAAACAACCTTTAACATCAGAGCACTCACCACCTTCCAAGGCAGTCTTTTCCACCATGGAACAGCTTGTGCTTGGTCTAAACTGTTTTTTTCTTGTCATTTGAACCCAATGGTTTGAGTTCTAACCTCTGAAGCAAAAGAAAATGTGTTTGCTCTATCAAAATTCAAAAATCTGTTGCAAGAACAAAACTGATCACAGGAAATTTGCTGAGTGCAGAGGGAGGGAGGGTCATTCTATTTCTGATCCAAATCACTGGAGTATGTTAATCTGCAATTTTTTAAAAGGGCCAAAAATAGATTTCAATAAATATTTCAAACTGATTTAATATCAAAATAGCATTTTCCTCAAAGTATGTACTTCTAAATACAATGAGCAGTTTGTATACAGTTTAATATTTTCTGGGCCTAAATCTGTATTGAAAAACTTAAAGAACTTTTTTTTAAAAAAGGATAACTGGTTTCTGATATGAAGTTCACATCAGTTGGTTTTTAAATACACAACAAAATCCTAACATTCCTATTTGTGATGGCTTCAGCCGATGCCGTAGTAGTAGATGTGCCATGACAACTCATTTGACTTGCTCATACTTTGTCCATGCTCCAAGCACAAATTTGTCACACAAACTGAGCAGGGTGTGTGCCCAGTGACAGTTAACATGCTGAAGAATGGCACATCCAAAAGCAAACATTCCCAGAAATTATATCTGCTGAGTGTTGTTAATGCAGAGTCATTAAAAATAAGTCCAGAAGTATAGTGTTTGTAACTGATCATAAACTTATCCTTTCTCCCTTGCTTGGAACTTCCTCCCAGAACACCAGTATGAAGCATAATTCCTTCCTTTAAATCTTTCCTCTGGACCTACCTTTTTCCATGATGCCTTTGACACAACCTCCTATTTCCATGCTGTAACTTAACCTGTAACTAAGCCAAAACATGTGTAACTGAAGTACATGCATTCATCTCCCATGTAAAGAACTTTAGATTATGAGCTACTCAGGCAAAAAACCTTATATAATGTAAGTATATAAGTTATATACAACCTTATATACTACAAAGCCCACCATGCTCACTGATGGAGCTGTACAAATGAATTATCATCATCATAATCTTCATCTTCATCATCATCTTAGTGGAAAATTAGGTACCCAAAACTTGAATTCCTTAATATATTATATAATCCTTCTTTATATTTAAGAGGCGTTACACAATCATAATTGCTGATTGATGAAGCAGTGGCAACATTCCCATTACTTTTAATGGATCTGGATGGCACCCAATAGTAATTAGCCACTAGCATGGCGGAAGGGAAAGAAAAAACGATTACATGAACACAAGGTGGGGAGCTGTCACTCAGGCAAGACAGAAGTGAGAAAGGGGCTGAGTTCAATATTATCTACAGTTCTGGAAGGTAATGAGCACATGGACACACCCGCACATGCACGCAGGGTGTTGCTAAAGCACTGAAACTGATTCCTCTATTTCTAGAAAATGGAGATTTGTGTCTGTCATCTTCCCTCCTTTACAGACATAGGACCATGGAATGCAGCTTCCTGTTTAACAATAAAACTGTGCGATAAGCATCGCCATCATTGCCAAAATCAAGTGCCAAAAATGCAGGGTATGTGTCATACATATATTTTGAAATGAGGACTCTGGGAAGTGTGAGAAGCAAATCTTTTCTCATCCACTTCCTTCCTGCAAATCTGTGTGTTTCTGTAATGCAGAGTGAAATGTAATAGAGATGAGGCTTCTGAAAGGCTGCTTATATTTAATTTCTAGCATGATGCAACCTAACGTTTTTCCCAAATATTACCCACTTCAAAAACTGAACATGTGAAATCATTTCATTAAGAGTTAAGGGCAACATTTCCCCATTTGCCACTGATATTAATTCTGTTGACATCAGTGTAGGCACCTCTGCGTAACAGTTAACACTAACATAAAGTATCAGGAGAATGAAGCCCAATGTATCAGTTGTGCAGTAATTAATTACACAGAGCTGTAATTACTGTTTGCCAATGGAACCATACACTAGTAGCCTCCTCATAATAAAAACAAACCTTTACTTATTTTAACCACTGGGTTCTCTCCGTTTCAGCTTCATCCCCACTCCACCCCCAGCCAGTCTCTGACCTCCTTGCTTGGTGTCTCTGCCAAATTCTTGGCACTGAAAGTGAGGGGGAAGAGGCCATACCATAAGCGTGTTGATAATGAGGAGATAGAAATAGCAAACCAGCTGGATTGCCCTAATAAAGTATGTCTGGGATTCAGAGACACAACAACTCACTGCTCATAGGACTATACTGTGCATTTAACCCTCTGCATTCTAGTCTGAGCCTTCTCCATGATCTCGAGTTCCACATATGCGAAGAATGCACTCCAACTTCACCAAATGCTATCTGGTAGCCCCTGATTAACAGTTAATTTTATCTATTTTACTTTTTCAGGCATTTACAAGCTGCATCTCTGTTAAATGGCACCCAAATCAGCTCAGAGCGCATAAAACATTTTGCAGTGGGGTAGACTAACAAGTCTGTTGCAGCATAGGCAAGAGCCTTATGGCACCTTAATAACAAATGTATAAAGACATACGCTTGCTTGGACTAGGCAGAGGTTGTCAGATAATAGATCTTCAGATATTTTGGACTTTAACTGCCAGAAGCCCCAGCCAGCCTGGCTAATGGTCAGGAACACTGAGGGTTAAAGTCCAAAATTTCTAGATATCTACTTTTTCCCATCCATGTACTCTAGTGTCCCTGCACCCCACATCGCATACCTACAAAAAGTTTTTCATAATATCTGTGTTTTGTCAAATCCACCATTATTTACTTCCTGCAAATGCAATAGGTCCTTCTGTCTACTGGTACAGAGGGATATTTCTACTGGAAAAATATGTGAGAAAGGAACGTTCTGTAATTCTCCTGCCCTGATGCAGCCCTGTGCCCCCAGACCAAATTTACACTAGAAGATAAGGAAGTCCTACATAACAGTATGAGAGATGGTGGCATGGAGAGGGAAATGGTGCCTTGGGGCTTATAAATATCCAGTGAAGAGTAGCAAGAGTAGTGGAGGCAACCTTCCTGCTATGCATTTCATCATTTTTGCTGAGGCACTTCATAGAAAAGGCGGTCCGAGCACCTATCTACAGTGCTCCAGTCTTGTCCCCTCCCTGCCCCACAGAATGCTCCCATAGTCCCTTTTCAAGGTCACTTTCCCACCCTCAAAGAGGCAGCTGGTGCACTTGTTTTCACACTGGTGTGAGGTAGGAGAAGGGGGTTCAGGCCACAGATTGCCAGTTCTGAGGTCAGAACTCTATCTCTAAATTAAATTATGACCTTGGAGATGCTGTTCTTAATGCTTCAGTGTAGGTGAGCAGTTCTGCAACCACATCTCATCAGCCTGTTTTATTTTCTTGTGATTAACAGGGCTTAGGACCTGGCTGTGTAAGGGTCTGCCTGCCTCATGATAAACTTATTGGGTAATTCAGAAAAGCAGAACAGGCCCATTTGAGGACACCATTACATGCAGAGGCCTGGTTGTTGGGTACATATATTGAAAATAACAGGAGCTACAAGCTTTCTTCCCAGAGGTCCATATTCATGATCAAACATCTTCAGCACTAAGATAATATCATTTGTAGCATAACCAGAGGCATTTGTGTTATTTAGAAGACCAAGTTGTCATAACAATAACAATCATCAGCATTGGTTGTAGATACAAATGAGTGTCATAAGCATATGACACTTACGGCATTTGGGGTTTTTTTGTTTTGTTTTGTTTCGTTTTTTTGCCCGTTCAAAAATTCCTCTCACATTACTTCACGATTTTGCGTGTCATCCTTGCGCAGGGGCCATGCTAATCTTCTCTGTATCGTTCCAATTTTAGTATATGTGCTGCCGAAGCGAGCACAGCACTTACAGCATTTGTTATGTCCAAGATGTTATTCCATTTCTTTTGGCAATGCAGCCAGTGTATATACAACATTGTTGTTGTGGGCTTGTTTGCTTATCATTACTTTCTGAAGTTCTTCTGCCACTGATGTTTTACATTTGCCAATAGATCTAACCATTGTGTTTCCAACACCTCTGCTCTATGCCAAAAGCAGTCTAGCCCTGAAGTTCTGAACTCTGGATCCACCTCCCTTACATTTTATTTTCTCTTCAGGACCTCATAATCTACATTCATAACATTAAAATTACAACCTTGGTTAAGTGTGAGTTTTAAGTGTATACATGCTTGCATTTTACTTCTTTTGTTGTTCCTCTTCCTGTGTTGCCTCAGCCCCCTTTACATTTTAAGCCTTTGAGACAGGGGCTGGTTCTAATGCCTTCACATGTTACCCATCTCAAGCTGTTAGGACACAGAAGGCCACAAATGAAAATAACCAAATAAGCACGGAGTATTTGCTCCTGTATGCAGCAGCCAACAAGAGTAGCCTAATGCATGGATGCATGGATAAGTGGAACAAGGAGTGTGCAGAACAATCCTTCAAGGTCTTGGCAAGGCTGTACCACTATTCCAGATGCCTGACTGGATATGGTTCAGTTATACATTTTTCGAGGGCAGGCCAATATACATCTCCAGGCAGCCATACTCTGGCCTTACCATGGTTCTCTGTTTCTGTTCCATCCAGTTAGCCTTCTTGCTCCTTCTCCTTTTTCCCAATTCTTGACTGTCCTCTGTTGATAACCTTAGCTCCAGGTCCCCAGAAGATTTTCTCATTTGAGACCTACTCTGGAATAATAAGTATGTAAATGTAGAAACAGAAAAGGCTGTCTTATACTGAGTCATACCAGTGATGCATTTCACTCAGAACTGTCTACACTCATTGGCATGGGCTTTCCAGGGAATCAGACAAAGGTCTTTCCCAACTATAGTAAGAAATCCTAGGAACTGAATCTGGCACCTTTTGCATGCAAAGCACACACTCAGTCACTGAACTATAGTCCCTGAACACACTGTCAAGTGTCAGGCCCAAGTTTGCTGGGACTTCTCATTCACACTTTTATACTTGGCTGACTATGACCAAGTACTAACACTAAGAGATCTGAGTGATCTTTAAACAACATCACACACACACCAGCTCCTGATCTTTTCCTTTTCCCATGTTCTTTCTGCTCTTAGAGCAAAAGTGAGAGTAAGAATCACTCCCTGAACTATATTCATTTCCTGACTCCTCATGTCTAGCAATGGTCAAAAGACTGAGGTCTTTGAATACCTCTTCCAAATTCTTCAACTATATTCTCATTCACTTCAACATTATCTAAGATCATTTAATGCAGGAACAGTTGACTAAATAGCCACTTATCATACTCACTGATCCTTTTCTCTCACGTACAATGCTGTCTCATGGGTATCTTTTACAGCTATGTAGACAACTAAATTTTATCCTATAGATGGCTTGCTTGAAAACATCCTTATGGAAAATTTACTTTGTCTGATGACGGTCTTAGAAACTGAACTTCTAATGTGCTGTGTGGTACATATCCGAAAGCCTTTTCCCACATGCAATTCGAAAATGCAACTTATCCTTGCAATATCACAATAAAGCAACGCCAAACTATCCATAGGCTAAAAGTTGCTTATCTGCATCATTGCCTTTATGAAGAAAAAGGACCATTTTCATATGCAGTTCCCTACAACAAAGTCTACATCTGTTACTGAACTAAAGGTGCAATTCTAGGCTGAAGATATGGCAGCTGAAGGTTTTAAGATTCAACAAATATGCTGACACAATAATCAATATGCTGGCAAAGCAGTTAAAATTGGGCAAAACTGTAAGCAGCAGAGGCAAAAGTGAAACACTTGTATGTGTAATCCTATACATCTTCAATCCAGTCACATCCAAATAGCAGAGCATTTTTCGCCCATCCCGTACCTGACACACAAAGTTTCCCTTCTATTTACTTCAATCAAAGGCCAGAAATCTGAAAAGTCAATCTCACATCTATGACTGTCCCAATCACATCACTATGATGGAGCACACAATATGCTGCATCTCCACACCCAGTCACAGAACACACCCCACCAGTATATAAATGTAACATGAGAAGATGTCTGGTCTGATTATATGCATGCCTGGTCTGCACATAACAGAATGGAACATGGATTGCTGTTGAATTGTGAGTTATCAGTACATGTGAATCCTGAACTATGGTTTAGCCATGGCTTGTTAATAGCTTGTTAACCATGAACAAAGGAGGAAGAGAACCCATGTTTTTTTTGTTGAGTTGTGAACTCTAGGTTGTTCATGGTTAATAATCCATGGCTAAACTGTAGCGTAAGATTCCCATGTAATAGCAACCCATAATTCAACAAAAACCCATACCCAACTTGCATACTGTATTGTTAAGTTCAAACCAGTTATAGCTCACTGGTCACCAGCAATTTAAAGTGATGGAAAATATTAGAAAGAACACCTTACACTGAAAGAGTAAACACAAACAACCTGTGTTCAGAACACTTCTAGAAGCTTGATCACACTGTTTATACTTCTCTTCCTAGAACACTAACACTCCTCAGGACTCCAAATACAACATTAAATGCCAAATTCTACTCTACTCCAACTGGAGCTGCCAGGAAAAAGCATTCCACACAAGCAAGCAAGGAAGGGAGAACACATGTTACCGGGTCTAATTCCTACAAATGTATCTCATTTATCCCTCTACCTGTGTTGCCATATGTGAATATTGTATTGCAGCTGAACTGTGTTGTTCAAACACTTTCCCCACACACACACATCCCATAGAAAAGAGCAGTGCTACCCTCAAGTGGAAGCCCTTATTCCCACACAAGTTCTCTGCTGGCAAAGACCAAGCACTCTACTCCAGCTATTGTCACGTCTAACCAAATATTCATAAGAACCGTTGCCTTGTATGGTCCCATCCTGGGTGTACGGAACAGGACAAATGGCCCTAGGAGTAAGAGGTATACATACTCGCAGTTCCTGCACTTTCCCCCCTCCACTCCAGGCTGAAGGCTAAAGCATAAGCACAGCAGAACAATTAGATGGCACCACTCCTTCTGCCTCACTTCTCACAACCATATACTGAGCATCTAGATCCTAAAATGGTGGGCTCCAACTGCCCATTGCTCTCTCTCTCTCTCCTTGCTCACTACAGGCCAGTCACCTATAGATACCCACATGCTGCTCTGGGAAGGCCAAAAACAAGGCCCATTCAATGACCAAAAGCCAGAACAAAGGTGTCCCCAGCTGTAGGCCTGCCAGGTTCTTAACCTCATTATACCGGGGGGGGGGGGGGGCACCCTTACCAGCTATGCAACACACAGTTATGCAGGAGGTTAAGGGATTCCTAACATGGAGCTGCTGCCATAAGGGACACATCTGCTACCTGGCTGTCTATAAGCCACTGTCCAAAGCATAGGAGCCTGCTAGAGTAGCCACTTGGCAACCCCACATATGTCTCTTTCAGAATCCAATTCATCCTGGATATCAAACAATAAGGCCTTTGCCTGCACAAAGGTGTGGTTTCTTTGTCATATGGATTGTCCCTGGATTCCCAGCTGGCCTTGGGGTAGGCAAAGGCAGGGGATAGACAGCTTAAGTGGCAGTGCTGTCTCTATTCAATCAGGAACCAACCATGATGAGGAAAGCCTCTTGGGATACACAAGTGGGATTGTTTTTGTAGCCAGGTTGTGTGAGGCAACTGGACACAGAGCGGATGAGGAGCAAGGAAGAGAAAAGAGTAAGACAGAGAGGCAATGAGCAAGACAAAATAGGTAGACTGGCCACAAGGGGTGTGCAAAGAGTGGTCAGTCATAAAGATCGGTCCTGCAACTGTTACTGTGGCTCCACTGATTCCGCATCCTACCCCCTGCCTTTGAGTGGTTGGCAAAATAGTCTTTCACTCCTAGGGCAGGTCTTGAACCTTTGTTCACAGGGAGCATTCCGTGTGTTCTATGCAGGAACCCTGTCCAAGAAAGTTATGTAGATACTATGCTATCTTTCCCCTCTTTGTACATTGTGTTCCTTAGCAGTTGTTCTGAAAAGCACAAGACCCTTGCCTGGAGCACTACCTGAAGACTGGCAGAAGGAAGGTTACCACTGGTTGCATCCCAAGGCTAATGGCGTGGGATATGGTACCATTGTACCATCTTGCATTCTGCGTGAGGATGCAGCAGTCTGCACGGTTCCTCTCTGCCTGACTAGCATGTGGATGTTTCGCCAGCACAGTCCCTGACTAGTGGACACAGGTGACGTTTCCAGGGACACAGGAGTGTGCCTACCATTTGGATGCTGTTTTCGTATTTTCTGGCAGCAGTTCCCCCCTCCACTCCCAGACGGCTCACACAGGGGATAAGCCATGCAGTTTTGGCATAATGTTGCCATAGGGTTGCACTGTACCTTCCGAAAAATGTTATCCAACTGGTTACATATGTTATATTGCTCAAGAGGACAGGGTCAAGCATCGCCATTTGTTTCTAGTACATCTGCACTCCTTGTGCCAATTCTATCACATCTCTGTGTCTCCTTCTTTTTAAAGTTAATTCACTGGAAATCAATATGCCTCACTTACATCCATGTTTTATTGCACTTCTACGAGCAAAAAAGATTTATTATGACTTTTTAAAATGAAGGTTTTCATTGCTGCATTTGTCTGCTTCTTTTACAGGTTTATCCTTTTACTCCCACCATTGGTTTTTAATAGCAATGTATATTATAAGACAATTATAGCAACAAAAATATTGGAAGTAATTCAAGGATATAGCATCCTTAATAAGGTGATAATAAGGGTAATACATTTGGTTCTGGGCCATTTTTTAAAAGAAAAATCTCTCTGGATAGAAGTCTGGATTTTTTAAAAAATGACAGCATTCTTAAAATCACTCAGAATGTAAAACATCTGATATGTATGAAAGATGAACTGTTTCTGGCACAGCAAGCAGCT